AGGTTGAGGCTGAAAAGGCTGCTCTGCATGATGAGTTGGCTGCGGCTGCGGCTGCGGCTGCGGCTGCGGCTGCGGCTGCGGCGGCGGCGCCAGTAGTCGTGCCGACAGAGGCTGTAACCCTGGCCGCAGAGCCGATGATCTCGCCGGTGGAGGTGGTGACGGTGCAGGCAGTGAGCAGTGCGCCGGAGGCCACTACAGAAGGGTCATTTGCAGATTGGTCGGGTGTTATGTCAGCAGTGAAGGAGCTGAATGCGTCTGTTGGTGTGCAGGTGGAGGAGGAAGTGGAGGAAGCATCGAGTGCATCGCTGTTGGAGGACCAATTGAGATCGGTTTGCGTGAAGGTGCAGGAAATGCAGAATGCTTGGAAGGATGAGGCAACCAGGAGAGCTGAAATGGAACTGCAAGTGAAGGCATTAGAGTCTGACCTGTGCGCTGCCAATGCGAGGTGTCAGGCCATGGAGGCTGCTGCAGAAGGTAGGTCAGCGATGCTGAAGGATCAAGCCCTGTCTAGTGATGGGCAGGATGAGGAGGAGGATCTGTCTGCTCGGTTGAAGGAGATGTGTCGACGGCTGTTGGAAAGTCTTTCGGCAGTCGGTGTTGATGTGAACGGTGATGCAGAGGACCCGATTGGTTTGCTGGACGACGCCGTTAGGAAGTTGTGTGAGGATAGAAGACGTCTGGCAGATAAGGTGGCGACAAGTGAAGAGGAGGAAGGTGAGCTGAAGCGTACGATAGAACTGTTGACGGCGGAAGTAGAGGCAACTCGTGGCAAACTGGACGACGCGTTGGCAATGCAAGGCCAGTTGGAGGCGACGTGCAAGTCTGATGAAAGTCAGCTTGAGGAGCTGAGTGGTGCGTTGGAGGTTCTGTTGTCGAGTTTGTCCTCAAAGGTGAAGGAGCTGGAGAAGATAGTGAGTGAAGATGGGTGTGTCGATAAGGAGAAGTTTGAAGCGAAGATGGAAGAATTGAAGCAGGAGAAGATGACGTTGGACGGTGTTGTTGAGCAGTTGAAAGGAGAGAACGCGAGACTGTC